AAAAAAAAAAAAAAAAACTCCATAAATAGAAGACCCAAGAAAAGAGGTCTTCATTTTGCAGGGAATGTGAAGGATTATGGACTTATTTCAGTAAGTCAAAGTCATATTTGCAGAAAAAGAAAACCAAAACTAGCTAGGAAAGAAGCCTCCATTGAAAAAAAAGCATCCCCTGTACAACAAAAGATGAGATTTAGCCATCAGAGGCTACCAGTTATATATACTTTATTCCAGGACACGGAGATAATGAGGCCTACCTATTTTCCTAACTAGTAATAAGAGAAGTACGAGTCATCTCCTACTTGGGATGTGCTTGCTGATCTTGAGTACTTCTTAGCAGAAGTATTCGATGATGACGAGGTATCGCCGGATCTTCTCCTTAGCATCTGCCTCATCCCATCGGCAACCCGAGTTGCCGGATTCGATTTATATTTTCGGCAAAATGACATGTGAGCCTTCACAGCTTCTTCCACACCAGATGACTTCTTACCTCTGTTAACTTCATCTCTCACAGCTTCTGAGCACAACCCACATAGCCATTTGCCATCAAATTTTTCCTTCACCTCACTGATATAGTCTTGGGTGCAATCTTCTTTCAATCCACAACACTCACATTTGGCCAGTTCAATGTCCATCTATTCCACTTTGCTTGCAAGAAAACAATAAACAAAAAAAAAATCTCTCCAATAAAAAGTTATCACAGAATTATGCTATAGAACCATAGTGAAAAAGTGGGTTTTTTGAGGTATGGTTGGTCTTTCATGTGTATTGGCTTTGTTGCCATAAGAACTAAGAAGGTGGTGTTTGAAAGGGAGAGGGAGAGAAGAGGAGAGAACTTATAGTAGGGAAAACTGCCATAATTTCCTCCATGTTCTAAGGGACATGGGTCAGTGGAAAATGAGACAAATGTGGTCTGGGGGCCCTCTACTGTGGTCCTTTCAAGCATTAAAAACTCTATAATGGGGTTAATGAATTAAAAAAGGGAAAATTTCAATCACACCCGTTCTAATTTATCATATTATGAAGGACGTTCTCTCTATTTTTTGAATCTCTACTGACATCTCTGTTAAATTAAAAATATTAACTAGAATATAATTTTACTAAATTATCCATGATATATTTGAGGACAAACTTCATTCATGTCCCTTCTGTATAAGCAAATCTTCAATAAGACTTCCTATGTTTTCTAATTTTTTTTACGTATTAAAATTTGAGCAAGTTAAAATTCGATTTAAACTAATTAAAATTTATTTTTTTACATATTAAAATTTGAGCCGATTAAAAATTATATTTTTTACGTATTAAAATTTGGGCTAATTAAAATTCTATTTGAGCCAATTAAAAATTATTTTAATTGACTCAAATCAAATTTTAATCAATTCGCATTAAATTTTAATAAGCCCAAATTTTAATACATAAAAAAATATAAATTTTAATTGACTCAAATTTTAATAAATCGAATTTTAATTGACACGAATTTTAATAAGTAAAAAAATATAAATTTTAATCCACTCGAAAGCGAATTTTAATTAGCGCTAATAATTCGGGTAGAGTTCTAATCGGCTCAAATTTTAGCACTAAAAAATAAATTGTAATAAGTTCGAATTTTAATACTTAAAAAAAATAAAATTTAATCAGCTTCAATCGAATTTTAATTAGTTCAAATTTTAATATGTAGAAAAATAAATTTTAATCGACTTGAATTTTAATAAAATTTTATGTAGAAAAATTACTTGAGTTTTTATATAGGGGCATTTTTGGTATTTTAGATGATTTTTTTTTGTTTTAAATGGTAGTTTAATGATAGAGGGTGTTAGTGATGTTTAAATATAAACTAGAAGGGGTGTTAGTGATATTTTTGATAAAAAAAATGGTGTCCTTGAAGATATAATAAACTAGAAGGGGTGTGACTGAAATTTTTCCATTAAAAAAATACTATTGGGATGGAATTTAGGGATAAAATTTGAAAACTTAGTGTATTTTTTTCTTGACCTACAATGGTCTCAATATTTTATTTTTTTGTTATATAGTGTTCTGTCTTGTGTTGATTACTTTCTCAAACTCAAAAACTAGCCATTGTAGCTCAAGTTAGTTTAATGATATATTTTTTGAGGAATAAAAATGACTAACCCTTAAAGGGTGCGACAAATATCGAACCTAAGATCAAAAGAAGACTTGACCACCAGAACAACGGTCTAGATATGATGTTAGGACCATCTTCCAATTCGATGGTAACTACACGTTATGTTCTCAAATTCATAGGTATCGAAAAAATATTAAGGTACCATATTGAAAAATATTATACCTAAAAGTTAAGTTACACATTACGAAGGTCAAGTTATAACCATTTCTAATCGATCATAATATTTCATGATTGATAGAAAAATATTGTAATTGATCATTAAACATTATGATCCATCAATTGTAATTTTATTTTTAAAAAATGTAAGCTGACCTTTAAAAGATGTATTTTTTTATGACCAGTCGATCACAACATTTTATGAATAGCTATGTTATAATGAATTGGTTTTATGTTCTTCCCTATGTCAATATCTTCCACTGGGTTAGTTGCTAATTTAGGGGGCAGTTTTTCTTTTGGTTGATTGACAGTTACTTTCGGTTGGCATGGTTGAATGGCTTGACCCTGGTTTCACTCGGCTCATTGTGACTTTTTAGGTTTTTTTTTGTTGCCCTTTTTATGGTTGTTCCACTGGAGATTAATTTTTTTTAGGATTCAATAGTCAGGGGTGTTCAAGTTAATTAACGCACACTTCGACTAATTTTCTCTTCAATTCGATCAAANAAAAAAAAAGCAACATGATGTAAACTGAATTTTGATAAAATACATCTAATTTCAACTCAATTTCATCCAACGTTAATCCAATTTCATCAAATATATATATTTTATCAAAATTCAGTTTACATCATGTTGGTTTTTTTGAATTTTAACTGATTCAATTACGATTATTAAATCAACGGATTTTGAATAAAATTTCTAAACTAGATTTTTTTTTGGTTCAACGATCAGGCGTGTTTGGACCAACTTATCCGCACCTCGACTAATATCCTATTCAGTTCGGTCAAAAGCAGATCATTCACGCCCGCACTAAAATATTTGAGAGAGAGAAATCTCTCATGATTTGACCCAAAAAAGTTATTAAAATTCGAACTGATAACATTTGAATTTACAACTCGTCCTGTTACTATTTTAACTATTATTACAGTTTTTTCAAACTAGATTCCGATTAAACGAAACTCCCTCAAAGTCTGACCAATTGCAAACTCTCATGCTAGCCCCAACTACTTTTGTTGCAAACCAGTACATAGTTGTTGTTTGATTCCTTGAACACATCTGATGGTGCATATCGATGGCGAAACAGTTTTGTGGTAATGAGTCAATGGGATAAGTAATATTCTGATTATTAATATCTGAGCTACTTGACTTCAGGGAATGGTGCTTAAGGTTATCTGAGAATTAAAGGATTAACATAGAGGAAATATGGTGGTTCACCGACTAAGGAGTTCAGCTAATCCACTCTTCAATAGAGGCTATGACTCCTTTTTCTTTATTGATCATACCAAAAGTTTACAGAATAGGTTTTTGGTCATTCGGTCCCCCCTCTGTTAGGGGGTGTTACATTGCATTTATAAGGTCATTCCCTGCTAAGAAGGATCTTAGCCGAGATTTTTGTCATTATTTCGTGGGCTTCTCTTTAATTTTAGGAGAAGATCTTGGTTGGTTGAGATTGAATGTCTTGATTACACCTTTCTAACGCTTTAAGATCTTCTCGTGATTATCCAGCTGTTATCTTGTCTTAAGAGATACTCGGCCCTTACCCTCTAACCTCTGCTAATGTGCCTGACCTCCTAGTCCGACCTCCTGAGCTTAGCTCTTAGAATTTATTTTAGGTATCATTGATATCAAACCTTTAGTTATGCATGTGGCAGTTGAATGTGAAATAACAGAAAACTAGAGTACATGACTAGTGATGGAACTTCTGTTTTTGGCCATGACTGAACATTTCAAGCTACAATTTTTCAAACAGAAAAGGTGTGGGCTCATGTTTTTTTTCCCCCCTTGCGTTGAAAAAGAAACAGGGGTTAACACAACCTCCTAACAAAAGCTACACTACATAAGTCTGCCCCAAGAGCTTGCAGAACTTGATGGGGGAGGGGCCACGAACTCCACAAAGTTGTTCTGTTACTGCTCGCCCATGTTCACAAAAATGTGGGCTCATGGTTTTTGTCAAAGCTGTTTCTCTGTCTGACGTTTGTTTTATCCACAAATATTATATTTTATTTATAATTTTTATTTAAAAAAATTCTTGGTGTTATCTTTTTGGTCCAAATATAAACTTGAAATTTTTTATTTCTGAAACGTTTGCAGATGAATCATAGTCAATAGTGAATCTTGGCCATGGGGAGGTGTGTGGGACCATCACCATTCCAAAGATTTGAAATTTTTGCCGACACCCTCCGATCAACGTAGTCCACTCTCCTAAAATGTCGTATCTATTACATCATACTTCTATGTATAGCAGATGTACGAGAGATAATCAATGAACAATCTTATCATCATTTTAGAGAGATTGATTCTGAAACGCAAACCCGTGACTTGAGTGTTTGAAGGATAAACTCATGTCATTATTCCATGCACGATCTTTATCAATGTTTACTATACCCTTTTTTTGAGATAATGTCTTGAAGTGGGTGCTATTATTTGAGAACAATAAGCTTCACATAATTGGACAGGATTAAGCAAAATCAGACATGATTATCCTGTAAATAGTAGAAGTTAGTACTGCCAAACGTAATATTGATAATTGAACAGTTTATCTGATTTGTTAGACATTTCTCAAGATGGCCCTGTGTTGAGTGGTATTAGAGTTATAAATAATTTCAATTTTCTTTAAATTTTTTGTTTGAAACTTTTAGGGGCTCAAATCATTTGTATTTTCACAAAACTTATCATATCACAGACATTAAGATCTTCTGAAATTGGGATAAAATTCGGCGTTTCAAGTTCGACCCACAATAGGCGCATGATGAAAAGGAACGGTCACGATCTTTACCTTATCACTAGTGTGTCACTCAAACTTCACAAGGTCTCGAAGTTTGCACGATGACATGGGTGAATCTTGATTGCTCGACGCTTATTATGCAGTTGTGATAGGTCATACTTCGCACTTTAAAATTTAGCTCATTTTCAAAGGAGACGCTGTAATCGAATAATATACTGAATTGCACAGTACTTTCTAGTTTTTTCCTTTAAGGTGTGGCAATAGTATTTATTCTATTAAGTATTTATGGTTAAGTTGATTGAGCTAAGAATTCAATTAGATGAAGAGTTCATAAGTGGATTGGTTATGGTGATATACTCTGTTTGATGTTTTTAACAAAAGGACAATGAGAAGAGCCATTCAAATAATGTTGTTTGCCATTTGCTTCATCATTAAATCAAAGAATATGCTCTCCCACTTAAGTATCCATATTTGCCTTCTTTTTTTTTTTTCTAGCTAGGTACGGATTCTCTATCCGAGCTTCATGGATTCAAGCCGCAGAGACAGTTTCACCTTATACACGTAACCCTCAAAACTCATAATGGCAGACGTTTCGTGCACTAAATTATCTTTTTTAGCTAGATTAGCACCTTAACATTCAGCTTGTCACAAAATATGTAAAACTACAAATTATCTTTTTAAAAATATCGAAGGATTCACCTCAAAATATATTGAAAAGTAAAATGAAAAAAGCTCTTGAAACCGTTTGGAGTGTTTCTGAAAAAACTGATTTTTCCTTGGAAGCCAAGGGCTAAGCCCAATTTTTCAGCTTTTCTTGGTGTTTTTTTTTTTTTTACT